TGTGACAATATATATGTCACAGCCCCTCGTTTGTTGTCCTCTTCTCTCTCTCTGCCTACGGTTTACCGGGCAGTTCTGTTTGTGACGATATATATGTTTTTCCTCTATGACATTGTGGTAGGCAGAGAGGTGACGGAGGCTTACCACTGCGTCCCGACAGGATATCCAGGGGTGTTAGGAGTATGTTTCTGCGGTTTCGTTATGGGGGAAAACTAGTATATGGAGGACAGGGGTCTCCGGACAATAAAGTGACCCTTGACCCGATCCGTCGGAGGACCTGTGGGCCAGCTCCTTGCTATGGTCCAGTCGTTTGGTCCCTTCATCTCCATGCGCTTCCTTGTCCCTCTTCTTCCCGCCCATGACTGCCCTGTGCTCTCTCTGACGAGGGTTGCCCCTCCCCTCCCTCCCCTCCCTCCGCTCCCTCCCCTCCCTCCCCTCCCTCCCCTCCTCCCCCCCCCCCCCCCCCCCCCCCCCCCCCCCCCCTCCCGCCCCTCCCTCCCCTCTCATGATTTCGGTCTCTGTATGCCTGCGATCTGTGCCGCTTACTCGCCGCATTCGCGTTAAATAGGGCCGTTTTGTTGCTTTTGTATATCGACAGCAGATCCGTTCTGTTGAACTTTTTTTTCTTTCCTCTTAAAAAATTGTATCGTATCTCGATTAATGCGTGTCATCCCTGCACAGGGCGTAGGGCCGATGCTGATCTTCATTCTCTGTATCGTTCCAATTTTAACGCTTGTCCCGGAGGACGCCCTTTCCGTTATGGCCCCCGAGCACTGGGGACTTTAGCAAAGCATCCCTGTTAGACCGTTGCGCAGTAGCCGTTGGTGTACGGAGAAACTGGAGGCCAAGTCCCACTACTACCTACCCAATCAATAGTAGCAGCGACGAGTTTCCTCAACGCCCGAATGTGGACGTGTTTATGCACATGTGCAGGTGAGGAAACTCTACTCGATTTTCTGCACATCTCCACAATCTCGTCCACATTCGGGCGTTGAGGTAACTCAACCCTGCTACGGTAGTGTGACTTGCCCCCCGGGGGGCCCGTCGGTGCCTGACTTGAAAACCCCAGGGGCAAGGTCCCACTTGCACGGATTAAGAGACTCTGGCCGTTGATCTTTGCTATCTACGGTCAATATCGCCTAATTCGTGTAAGTGGGACCTAGCCCCAGGCGCAGTGTTTCCAAGCCTACATGACTGTGCAACGGCGTTATCTTTTTTTTTATTTTTTATAATTATTATTATTATTATTTTTTTTCTTAAACGGCGTTATCTTGGACGCCATACTCACACTCCCTAGTATTGCTTTGCTTTCCTGAATGTGTCTAACCGCAAAACATGTAACTAGCCGCAATTGCACCCCGACCAGGACGAATCTGGCCGCAATTATCTCCAGGAGGCTCGCCACACAGCTGTCAGAAAAAAAATTCGAAAGTCGGAGGTCTACACTTTACCCCACCCCCCCCTCCCCATTCCCTTCCCTTCGCCACACAGGCTGTGGAGGGGGCCAATGTTTTTGGTCCTTATGGCCAAATTGACTCCGCCTGCCTTTCCACAGGGCACCGCCATCACCGAACAATCCCCGACCCCAACAACGCAAATTCGAACGCTCTTCTCGAGGAAAGGCAGGTTGGTGGGCCACTTTCGAATTTCCGTCTCCTGCATTGCAGGTGCAGGTGCAGGCAGGCGGGAGGAAACGAATGGGGGAGGGTGGCTGGCTGTCGAGCACACGTACCATTCTGAGGGCGCTGCCGCACGGCACACGAAACGAAAAACGAAACGAACGTATCGTTCCCCAGAAAATGGCCAGGTTCATCGGATTGCTGTAAATAGTAACGAGTGCATTTTGCCACCTTTGGTGGGCAGATGCACTCGTTTCGTTTTCGTTTCGTGTGCCGTGCGGCGAGACCCTCAGACACCTGTTGAAAATGTTTTTTT